GCGCTGGCCGACGCGGGCGTCGAGATGTACGACCTGGTGGTGGGCTGCGGCCTGAGCCGCGCGCCGGGGCCCGCTCCCACCTGGCTGCTGGACCCCACGCGGCTGGAGGAGGAGCGCGCCGCCGCCGGCCTCACCGTGGCGCTCATGCCGGTGCTCAACCAGGTGGCCGGGCTTCTGGGCAGCGGAGAGGGCGGCCCGACCGAGAGCTGGGCCGAGGCCGTGCGCCTGGGCCTCGAGGGCTGCCAGCGCCTCTACCCCGTACTGCAGCAGTGCTTGGTGCGGGCGGCCCGCCGGAGGGGCGCCGCCGCCCCTCCCTGACCCGGCAGCGCCGCGGGACCCAGCTGCCGCCCTCCAGGAAAGGACCCGCACGCACGTGCGCGCGGCCTTCAGGCTGCGCCAAGCTGAGAGCCCAGGGCTCGCCAGAGCATCTGCGGAAGCGCGTTCGGAAGTGATGCACTGGACAGTCATATTTAAGCGAACTTTAACAAACTGCTCCGTATAGAAACTTTTCTACTTGAACTGGTACCCGACTTGCAGCTGCGACCCAGCAGGAAGAAACCTGCGAATGCAGCCTGACTTAAGGTTGGAAAGAATGGCAGCTCCACTTAACTGGAAAACGGAACCTGGACTGACAGCTCTGTGAGGGGTGGACGCTGCGCAGGCCAGTCAGTGACGCCTGTGTAACTGCACTGCTCTTGAGAGAATGGACAGAGGGCTGTGCCTTCTCATTTTTATCTGAGCTAGAACATAACAAAAACCCTTTCATAGCCGAAAAGCCTTCTGTCTTGCTTCTTAACTGGTACAGGAGTTAAAAGAAGGTTCTTTGGAGCTGGGCATGTGTTCTTCCACTCTGTCAAGGACTTGGGACCAGTTGGTGTAGGGAAATGTGCTTTGGAGGAGGAGAAGCAGACTTTGTCAGGTACAGAGTTGCGGCCACTGCTGAGGCGTGACAAAAGTGGGGAGAGTTGCACGGCTCCAGGAAGACTGGGTGTGTCCTCCAGCCCCCCATTTAGTGCTGGGCAAGACCACAGCTCAGAGTTGAGTAGCTGGAAAGGGTTTGGTTCTGGGTGAAATCCAGACCCATCGTTCCCTACTCACATGCAGAGCAGCCGCATGCTGGCAAGTGGGGGGGCCCATGCTGGTTTCAGTATCTGGTGCCCCTTGTCCAGTCTTGCAGTCTTGGTTCCAGGGAGAGGGCAGATAAACTGCAGGAGTGAACATGGGATGCTGGGAAAGCAGACAGGCCTGGCCATTCCTCAGAGCAGAGCTGGCCTGACAGACCTCAGGTGGCTCCTGAGCCTAGGGGGCTTGTGTTTGCATCTGGAGGAAGGCAGGGCAGCCCTTTCTGCACCCCAACATGGCATGAGTTTCTCAAAACTTGAGTGTTTCTGGGGCCTGTTCAGCCTGGAGAGGTCAGGGGGCAGAATGAGACTGGACACCACACCAAGAACCCCTGACCAGGGGAAAATAGTTTTATTTTCCCCTTTCTGACAATACATCTTTCTATAGCAGATCTGATGGGAACAAGACACAGCACCTCTGTTGTGTAGGGTGTTTTGTAAGGTGATGGGAAGCCTACCCAAGGAGTTCTGTGGGACATGCCAGGCACTAAGAGCTCGGGTTCAGACTGGGAGGGGGACTGCAGTAACACGAGTGTTCCTGAGCGCCACTGTGGCTGCAGGGAGGTGTTGGGTGGGCTTACTCTCCACTTAGACTGAAGACCGGTAGGACCCTGCAGGGGGTAAGAGCAGCTGAAACAACTGCTGACCTGAAGTCAGACGGCTTGTGGTACTCTCAGGAGAGCCCTGCCCAGTCTCTCTATGCAAGATGGCCTCAGCTGCTGAGGCTGGTCAGCTGGTGCCAGCCCCCAGACTACCTGCCATCTGGAAAAGACCTGCAACCACTGGCATGGCTCTCTTGAAAGGTGCCTCTAGTTGCAAGGGTACTTCTGGAAGGCCTTGAGGAAAGCCACACAGGTGAGGAAGGGAGCCACTCTGAGGATGCTGGACGCTAAGAGCTTGAGAAGGTGCCAACCTCTTACTGGCTGTCTTGCTTCTCTGATGTGTGGTTCTTCACCTATAGGAAATATATCATCTAAATCTCCCAGTCTCCCTGAATCCCCCACCTCCTTTCTTGGCATCTTGGGCAGCTTAGTGCTACTCTAGGTTTTTCCCTGAGACCCAGAACCACCAAGTTCCAGTGCAGATGTGACTCAGGCAGCAATGACCACCTTCTGGAACCCAGGGGTTGAAGGGCAGGGCCTGGTGGGTGAAGGGGAGCAGGGTTCTGCACTGACGACCCCCAGAAGCCTGGGTACAGCCTAAACTGGGAGGAAGGCTCCCTTCTGGGTAACAATTGGGAAGGAGGGTATGGTAGGTATGTGGATATTCTCCATCCAGAAAGGCCATGTACCAACACTTCTCTGAGGAAGGAGCATGGCCCAGTGCAGACAGCCAAAGACTGGGCAGTAGGTGAGGCAGAGTCAGGAGAAGGGCAAAAATCTGACTTCCAACAGGTTTGGCAGATGGTTCTTGGGCAAGGGGTCTGGTGTGACGCCTACTGTGACATTCCCTCTACACCGCTCAAACACCACCCCCTTCCAGAAGGAGATGGTATTTCAACCCAGAATGGTCCAACCAAGCTATTAAGTCCAAGCTTGCTTCTGGGTATTTCCATGGTGGAATCTTACGTATACCCAGCCCATCACTGTGGCTCCTGCACAAATCTGAGTCCCTTCTTTACCGACAGGGAGAACACAAGACAGCCACAGGAGGTGAGAATGGGGAAGGTGCTGCGTCACTCACTGCCTTCTGGTCTGTGCGCTCCTCTGTGCTGTCCACCCCTGCCTGGGTCTTCTGGCCCCTGATCTTTGGCTGGGATTCAGTGGTTCTGCACGAAGGAGCCGCACTCCCAGCACTCCAATTCCCTTCCCTGTCTTCTGTCCCTGTGCAGTGAGAGTCACAGTCAGCGGCTGAACTTGGAGGCCCCGGCTGTCTCCAGAACAGACCCTTAATTCCCAACACTGATCAAGGGTGTCTAGGGCTTGAGCGGATAAGACAGGGTGGGCTGGGACTGCTCTGGCTCCAGATAACTGCTGTAGGTGGGGGACCAGGCCAGCCCAGAAGGCACAAATGTCCACAAGTGACAAAACAGCCAGAGGGAGGAGGGGGAAGTTTACTGCCATGCAGGGCAGACAGCAAACTCCCCTCAGCAGTGGAGAAATTGGAGCCTTCCGTGAGGGGGCCCTCAGGGGGGGTCTGACCTGGAACCTGGGCTTTTTGCCGATCCATGCACTCCAGACTTTGCAATAGGCTGTCCACCTGGGCTTTGATCTGGCTTAATTCTCCCACGATGGAGTGCAGCTCCCTAGTCCGAACTGTTAGGATGGATCAGAGGATGGAATTGGTGAAGGGCCCAGCGGGACAGCACACAGTGCCGCCAGGGTCCCCAGCTGTGGTGAAGGTGGGGCCTTCTCACTCACACTTCCTCTGCTCCAGGGGCAGGTGGCTATTCCTGGGGATCTTGTGGGGACTAAAGCTTCCCTTGACACCCATGCCCACATGGGTCCTCCGCATCTTGATAGGCACAGGGTTGATGAGTGGGGGAATCCGTTGGTATTTATACACCCTACAGGGACAGGACAGAGGAAGTCAGGCCAACCAGCCCCACCTGTTTGCCCGAAGGAAGGCAGGGGCAGGACCTACCCACCTGTATGGGACATCGTCCCTGCGCAGCTCGTAGTCCAGATCACAGTTTTTGTCACTGTGGAAGAAAGACATGGGGAGAAATTACTTACCAGGGTCGGACACATTCTAATGGGGAAACACTTAGCAAATTTTTCCTTGGAATCCTGGAATTCTCAACCAAAAGAGACCAAGCCTTGCACAAGTTCACCTGTAAGACCACAGCAAACTGGCTTCCCCTCTGGCTGGCTTCTGAGAAGGGGCACTTTCCAGATGGCTTCAGGTGACAAGAGGGCATGCCAGAGAGCAACCCTCCCTCCCCCCACCCTCTTCATGTTCTGAGCTTTAGACTGGCAAAGGATGAAAGGGAAGAGTTAAGCCCAAAGCCCTGGTGGGGGTGTGAGAGCCTTTAATCCTTGTGTGGGAGAGGCCAGGATGTAGAGCCTAGCACTGGCAGGTTCAGTCTGGCAGGGTCAGCCAGGCAGGGTTAGAGCAGTGACCAAGCCACCTTTTCCCAGGCCCTGAAAGGACTGGGGACCTTCATGCACCTCCTGTGCATTCTGGGGAACTAGTGCCCAGGAGGGTTGGGGCATCAGTTCAGAGTGACAGCTGGAAGGCCCTTTGTGGACACAGCTGCAGGAGCTTCAGGTCACCTGGGAATGGGCCTCCTCGAATAGAGGGGGGTCGGAGGGAGGCGGGCTGGGCGCAGTGACGTTTCTGAATCCACCTATTTGGTGCTGAATCCACACTCCCAGTTCAAGCGTCAAGCCCATGCGGGCCGCTGGGACTGAATGGAGAACGTTTGGGGGCCCCGGACGAAGGTGGGATTTCCAGTCACCCCTACGCCCCCTTTCTGGCTTCAGGAAGTATATAGGTAGGCGGCCAGGAAACCGCAGCGATGCTGATTCCGGTGTTTGGAGGCAAATCCTTGGAGAAAGCAAAACACACTAGTGGAGGGCAGAGCAGACCGGTTCCCGCCTCCTGGCGCAGTGCACGAAACAGGCAGCCCCCATTACCCCTACCAGGGTTAGGGGCGACCAAGTAGGGAGGGCCGGGGGGTGGGGGGTCGGACCGATTTCAAGGTGAGGAATCTTAAAAGTGCACGATCGATGGGAGAGAAAAATTCTCGCTGACTGAAGTTCCCTCGGGCTGACGGGACTCCCTTCCCCTTCCCTACTCCCGGTCTCATCCCTTCCTATTGGATGGGGATTTTCGGAGGAGTGAGTCAGGATGCGCGGAGTCGGAGCAGAGCTCCTGAGCTGCGTTGACGAGGCCCATCTTACCGCGCATTGGTGGTTCAGTGGTAGAATTCTCGCCTGCCACGCGGGAGGCCCGGGTTCGATTCCCGGCCAATGCACAGCAGACTTTTTTTCCTTAAGTGGGCTTTCCAAGTAGCTAAGACCGACGTGTTCACGGGAGTGGGTTTTCACCGACCAAGGACCGCTTGCCACGGACGCCGCAAAAGTACGAGTGGAGACCGACGGACTGGGGGCTAGGGCGCATGCGCGGCTAGAGTCGGGCTTGCAGAAGGGAGGGGGCCCTCCCGCGTCATCTCCCTCCAACCCCAGGCTGCGGCGCCACCCAGAGCTATAAGTAAGAGGAGAATTTGTGCCCGGGTTGGGTTGTCTTCACCCTTTTCCCTCAAAAGGCTACAACTTGGTTTCAAGGGGTCGGTAGTGCAACGGTTGCTTTTCAAAAACCCGGGCTTCCTGTGAGAAGAGAATCAAAGCGCAGTGAGCGGAGGTCAAGTCACCTCTTCGCGGTCCTCAGGATTAGGGGTGAGTGGGCGGGACCTGGGGCAATCCTTCAGGTTGAGGAGGCCTGAATCAGCGGGCTAGACTTGACCAGCCCTCGCACCATCCCAAAGGGCCACAGCCGCAGCTCCCCCACCTGCTGCTGCCCCAGACCCTCATGGCCTGACAGAGCTGCTGGGCGAGTCTGGGTCTAACAGAGTCCTCCCCTCACAGGAACTCAAGCCTCTGGGGAGGGCTGTCATCACTCCCCAGTGTTTCTCTGTGCCCCAGCCTGTGACCCCCACCCAAAAGTGCTCCTCGGGAGGCTTGACAGGACTGGTCTCAGCCTGCT